GTAGCAGTGTCCCTGTAGCATGCTCTTGTTAGGGCTTTAGGGAATAGACCGAGAAGGGGAATAGCTGGGTCAAATGGTGGTTCCATTCCCAGCTTTCCGAGAAATCTCCATACTGCTTTCCAAATTGGCTGCACAGTCTTTTTTTTTTTTAACATATCTCTTTTAATAGTGACATAGCCTTCCACTGTGTGAACAGATCATAGTTCAGTTAATTTCTGTTCTAGCACATTTAGTTATTTTTTTAAATCAATTTTAAGCTGTATATTTTTCACATCCTCAACTCTAACCTGGAGTCTTTCACTCATAGCCCATCATAGTTTAATAAGTACATGGTGTATGCAATAATGTCATATTTTATAACTCATGGTATCCTGGACTCCATGGCTCACCAGTCACCCTGGGGCTGACTCCTAGAGGAGGTGCTCATCTTCTAGAAACTGAGCTGGCTATTTTACCTGGGCATCCTCTAGCCAGAGGCCAGCCACGGTCCAGCTTCCAGAATGTAGGAACCAAACTGTGGAACTGGTTGGAGGTTGGCTCCAAGTCCTTCATGAAGAGCCCTGCCTTTTCCCAAGTAGGCAAATGCTTCAGAGTGGAGGGCTGTGAAGTCAAGTACACACACTGGACTCCATGGCTGCAGTGTCAACAGGGGTGAACAGCACCCTCTCTGTGGACCTTCCTCGGACAGGATGGAAATGGGATGCACACTTAGGTACACATCCGTTTCCTGCCGTTTCCTGGCTGCTAACCCCGTGCATCCAGCCTCCTGGCTTCAGGTTTCAGAGGCTGCTGAAGCCAGATTTAAAGTTAGGTAGTCAGTGTAGTTAGGTAAATCGGGTCTAATATTCTAATATCGAGTAAAATAAAAAATGGAGGCCATGTTGAGAATGAATTCCGGGAAAAGCAGGACAACTCTTGGAATGTTAATGTCCCCAAGGCCCAGAGCCCATCCCAAAGAAATGTTAATRAAACAGCTCCCAGCAAACTTGAAGATGCTGACCCAAAAGTCCTAAAAGATTACTTCTTTGGCCCACCTGTGCCCCACCCTTGGAGCCATTCCACCTACATTCCATCACTGAAAGAACTATAAAAGGGGGAATACATTCGCCCTTCAGTGGATTCCACCTCTGGGGTCCCCTTCTTCCTCCAGAAGTCTTTTCTGCTGTCCTTTAACAAACTTCTACTTTCCACTCTGACCTTGYCTCGGCGTGCTTCTCTGGTGTTATACTTCAACATTGGGTAGCCGGTCAACAGCAGTAACTCTGCTATATAGCTCTGGAACACAGCTGGCCAGCACGTGGCTTGGCATGCCTGGGGGTGGGTGAATCAGTCCTGACTGGTCCATCCCTTCTGAGGACATCAGGATAAAGAAGGAAGGACAGGGTGAGGTGGCACTCATACTCCCTGACACATGGAGGACATCCTAACTACACAGGTTCAAGTTCTCTGCCCATTTTCTCTGACCACCTGAGAACATATTCTGTTTCCTTGAGGTCTATCCCTGGGTTTGCAGTCAGAGTTGCATTGGACACAGGTCAAGACTGCTGCCTTAACTCAAGACTCCAGTAGTGTTTCTTAGAGTGTGACCTTGGGTGTGTCACTCACCTCCAACAGACTGTTTCCTCCTATGTAAAATGAGTTGGGAGGATTGGGTGTGGGTGACTTAGGACWGCATTCTAGAAACAGCAGAACCCTGAGTCACAAGGGTGTCCTCCTGTGTCTCCTGCCCCTCTCTTCTCCCAGGTGCTTTTCTACTTTTGGGGTTCAGAAGGCCCCAAACTGGTACGAAGGAGAATGGAGAATGCAGTCTGGGTAAGTGTTGAGTGGGAGGTGCAGCGAACAGAACTTGGCAGCTCTCCCCTGTCTAGGGGACTTTGTAGATGGTTGGCCACCCCACCTAGAACTTCAGGATCCAGGAATCTGTGCAGGCTCACTCAACCAACAAAATGTGGGTTATCTTCAGTGGATGAGGCTTGCAGGCCTGGAACACTCCCGGCCTGCAACTGGACCTTCACCTCAAGTCAGTGAAGGGCGTAGAGCCTATTCAGAAAGCCAGGACAGGTCACTTGCTCCTTTCCCTGGCCCCCTGAAGAGGGTTGGCCAGGCTGCCCTAATTTTCCTTTACCTCCTAGAAGTGCAGTCTGCACACAGGAAAGGGGCCTGGGCTCTGCCCACGGAACTAAACATGGTAAGGGCTAGGTGGGTGGAACGGATCCACCAGGGCAGGTGGTTCCCGGGCCCCGCAAGACACCGTCCAGGCCCTGACCTTGCACACCGCTGGGCCTGCCACGCCCGAGAGCCTCCCAGGCCTGAGCGCAGGCAGCCACTACCCTGAGCCCCCGCCCCCACCCCGGGCCCTGCGCACCTCGGCGCCGTCCCCAACCAGGAGCCTGGCGCGCCCCGGGCGCCCTGGGTCCCTCCTCACCCTGGAGCTCTGCGCGCCCCCGGCCCTGCGCGCCCCCGGGGCACGGGACGCTCGGGGACCCGCCCCGTGACGCATTTCCAACCGCCTGGAACCGCGACCGGCCGGGCGCGCCCCCGAGGCACGGGGAGCGCGCATCGTGCACGCGCGCAGCCACGTGACGCCGCCCAGCCAACCGGCACGCCGGGATTTGGGGATAAAGCGCGGCCCCGCGAGCAGTTGCGGCGGGAGAGCGGCGGGGCCCAGAGCGTGACTCGCCCGCTTCGCGCTGCCTCTTCCGCCTCCGCGTCTCGCTGCCGTCGCCGCGCAGCCATGTCCGAGGAGAAGCCCAAGGTAAGCGCGACGCCGGCCCCGCCAGCTGCCCGCAGAGCCGCCGCCGCGGGCCGCCAACCTGCCGCGAGCTCGGCTCGCGGACCGCGCCGCCGCCCCTCCCCCCGCCGGCGCCCGCGGCCCCCCCAGCGCGCCTCGCCACGCCCCCGCCTCGCCAGGCTCCGCCCCCAGCGCGCCTCGCCACGCCCTGCCTCGCCCGGCTCCGCCCTGGGGGCCCGACTTGCCCGGCCCCGCCCAGATGGTGCCTCGCTCCCCTATGGCTCCGCCCCGGAACACGCCCCGCCTCCCGGACCCGCCCTGGCTTCGCCCCCGGGCTACGAGCCCGCTCTCGACTCCACCTCTTAGGCCCGTCAGCCTGGAGCTCTGGGGAGCCGCTGGGCTGGTGGCCTGGGACCCGGTCTGCTCAGCCTGCCGTCTCTGGCTGCCGCAGTCGCTGAGCGCAGACCCTGCTGGCGAGTGCAGCTCCCGCGTCTGCACCTGGCGTGTCCTCCACAGTCCTCATCCCGTGCCACCGCCCCTCTCCTCGGCATAACCTCTGGCTGTAGGTCGAGTCCAGCCTCCCAGGCAGCGCGTGACTGTGCGAGCATCAAGTCGTCCCTTCTGAGCAGTCCCATAGCTCCTTGGTGCTGGGACACCCCCAWAGCAATCCTGGAGGGCAGACACCTATGAGAGTCCTGGGGTGCTCGCCCTCCATCTGGGTACTGAGGTGGGTGCCCACCCCCCATCGCTGTCCTGGTTGCATGTGCTCACCTTGATCGCAGTCCTGTGGGGCATTGCTGGCTATCGCAGTACTCGGGCAGGCCCCACTGTAGTCCCTGGGAAGGCCAAGGTTGCTGACTCCTAATTAAACGGAAAGTTTTGGTCCCGTGTTCTGACCTGTTGGGGTCTGTTTTATTAAATCAGTAGATAACAAAGTGTTGAGCCGAATGCATTTTGCCTCTCCATCACCTGCCTGGTCCTGAAATAGATCACCCTCTCTTTCAGTTGAGGGCTCCTGGCTGTCAGGACTGGGGGAACCCACCCGAAAGCCTAGGCTGGCCCTATGAGTGATAGTTTTGARGAAAGGTCCAACTGCAGCCCTGGGCCTTATTACACCACTGTCCACCCAGACCGTTTGGGTGAGCACCTGTTGATCCTAGGCCAGGCACAGATGCCCCTGTGCTTTGTAGGTGACTTTGTAGCAGAGCTTGGGGTTGGGTGGGTTCTTTGTCTTATGAATTTGAATGAAATCCAGGGACACAAAGGGCAAGAGCAAAGTAACAGGATTTATTGGAGTAATAGAAAGCAGAGCTCCGGAAAGGGTGGGTCCCAGGAGAGGGTGGCCAATGGGTGTCTGTTGTCTGGGGTTTTATATGGTAAGATCAGAGGGGAAGAGGTTGGCCTTGAAGGCTGTTGGCTGGAGGTTAAAAAAACAGTGGGTCTTTGAGTGCAGGTACCAGGAATCTGGTGTTCATGTGTGCCTCTGACCAATTAGGTTACTGTGTTGCAGTTTGTCTTTTTTTTGGAGAGAATATGGTCACTGGGTCACAGATGCTTCACTGTCAGTTTCTTGAGCTTGCATGGGTTCTGGGTTTCTGCCTTGTTACATGGGAATGTGACCTTGGTGGGCCAACTTTCCTACTTGCTTCTCCCAGCTCTTTTTTTGGGGAGGAGGTACCAGGGATTGAACTCAGGGGCACTTGACCACTGAGCCACATCCCCAGCCCTGTTTTGTATTTTATTTAGAGACAGGGTCTCACTGAGTTGCTTAGCGCCTCGCCTCTGCTGAGGCTGGCTTTGAACTCRGGATCCTCCCACCTCAGCCCAGCTCTTTTCTACCTCACCTTCTCTTAATGAAGGTAAATATAATAAGATTTATGTGGTCTTTTCATTTTCTTCTTTTTTGAGGTACTGGGGATTGAACCCAGGGGTGCTTTACCACTGAGCTACATCCCCGGCCCTTTTTAGTTTTTATTTTGAGATAGGTGCTAAGTCGCCCAGGTTGGCCTCAGCTTTCTTTCTTAACTCCTAAGTTCACTTGCTTATTGGATTCACTGAGGGCTGGGACAGTTCCCTCTTGGTGTCCCTGTTAGGGGGCCAGAGTGTCTCAGGCCTGCCCCCGGCCTGTGCTGGCACCTGCTGTGCTTCTGCTGGCTTCAGGGTTCTAGTCCTGCATCTGTTTAGATGAAGAAGCCGGAGCATCCTTACTCTCTGGGCAGTGAAGGGGGAAGCTCAAGGGGTCCTGTGGCGGAGCAGGGGCCTTGGGTCATTCACGTCCCTTGATCAGCATTGCCACCTTGCCCAGGCCTGGAGCTGTGCTCTGGAGAGGGCTGTGGCTTGCAGGGCAAGCCCTGGCATTCCCCAAGAGGAGGAAGGCACTTGGCCACTGGCCCTCGCCAGAGGGGTGGGTAAGTGCTGCAGGGACAGGCGTCTACCAGCTCCTTGCTGGAGCCCCTCACCCCAGGTGCCACTTTTCAGGCCACCATAGCTCCCTGGACAGGCTCTGCTCCTGCCAGATCTCCAGGGCTGTGCACAGGGAGCTGGAATGTGCAAGCCTTCCGCACCTTGCTCCCCTTTTCTGGCCAGGTGTGCCCGGTGTTCAGGGAGAGAGTGAGGGCGCCTGACTCTCCCCACTAGGAAACGAAGGGAGCGGCAGGCATCAGAGGGATAGGGTGCTTCCATGGAGTCTGGGCTCTAGCACACGGTGAAAGCCAGGCCTGTGTGTGAAGACAGACTCTGCAGACTGCCCTGGACTTGGCCTTCCGCTGGGTCAGAGGGCCTCACTGGGTTGTTAAGAAGTAGGTCATTCCTRTGGACTCCCAGGTAGCCAATCTGGTGGGCCAGACGTACTTTGGAAAACAGAAAATAGCTCTGGAACCTCACTTCCTTTTCGGACAAAGTAGCCTATATAGGTGGCTCACTGCCCCTTAACATAAACTTTGGAGTTGATTCAAAATGTGCTTCCAGGCAACAAAGAACCCTCATTATGCTATTGTTCAGTAGCTGGTGTGTATCTTGAATTATATARCAATAAAGCACCAGGATGACTGCCATCAGATAGGCTGATGGGTCTGCTGGGTGGGGATAGAGCCCAGGGCCTAGTGCATGCCTGGCACCTGCTCTACCTCTGAGCTCCCCAGCCCCAGGACAGGACTGCACGGAAGTGGAGACTTCACAGAGGTGGCTCCTCTGGTCCTAATGATGGCATCGTAGCTGGGAGCCCCCGATGAAATCTGGTCCCCACCAAGCCCCTCAGGGTGCCAGGGTCCCTCAAGGTTGTGGATATTGATTTTGTCTTACCAGTCACGTAACCTGGGGACCTGTGTTCTTATTACCTTCATAAGAGCGATTTTAAGACAAAGAAGGATTTTCTCTTACTTTTTCCAAGATTGTTATTAAATGACTTTTTTTCTTTGACTCAATCAGCTTTTTCTGTGGGACTCCAGTTCTGCCCCGCATTTCCTTATGCGTGGGTGCTTAGTGAGAGGAAGTTAGAAATAAATTCTGTGTGAAAATAAAGTCACATGAGTGACTCTGAATTGCAGGAGAATTTTAAGAATTAGGTTGGTTTTAATGACTTTTTAATAAAACCAACCCTTACCTAAAGACTTGCCTTTTAAAATCACAGTTATCTTTTTTTTCTACCTTTATTTATTTACTTACTTCTATGTGGTGTTGAGGATGGAACCCAGCGCCTTGCACTTGCTAGGTGAGCGCTCTACTGCTGAGCCACAACCCCAGCCCTATGCACATTATTTTAATATGATGAGAGAACAACATTTAGCTTACATGAAGAAACATACCTAATTCATTTTTGTACTGTGCACCTGTTATTGTACTATTTTTATTTTGTATGTATTGTAAGAATTAGAAATGGGCTAAATTATTTAAAAATATTCTGAGGCAGACTGAACAAGGGGAATGGAGAATGTCATTAAGTTCAGATCTTTTCATTTATCATTCAATATTTAATATCACATCGGTAATTGGCAGAATATTCTTTTTTTGGAGAGGTACTGGGGATTGAACTCAGGAGCACTTGACCGCTAAGCTACATCCCCAGTCCTATTTTGTATTTTATTTATTTAGAGACAGGGTCTCATTGAGTTGCTTAGTGCCTGGCTTTTGCTGAGGCTGGCACTGAAATTGGGATCCTCCTAATTCACAATTATCTTGAGCCAACTTTTGAAGCTGTGTCCTGTCTCTTGCAGGAGGGTGTGAAGACGGAGAATGACCACATCAACCTGAAGGTGGCGGGGCAGGATGGCTCGGTGGTGCAGTTCAAGATCAAGAGGCACACCCCACTGAGCAAGCTGATGAAGGCCTACTGCGAGAGGCAGGTGCGGGCTGGCCACAGGCTGCTGCCCCAGTTCCCAGGCGGCCTGGGACGCAGGTGCCCTCCCTCCACAGATGCACAGGGTTCTGAGGCTGCCTCTGGCTGGGGCAGGGGTGTCTCCCATGTTCCTGCAGTTGGGACTCTTTCTGCCCACACCTTCTTGGGTGGTGTGCATTATGGGCAGGCATGAGGCTCTGTGGTGCCTTCTGGGCTGACAGCTGACCCAGGAGCTGCAGCAGGTGTGTCCTGGTGCCTCCCCTGGGTGGCTGAGGTTCTCCTGCAGACAGACTGCCCTTATCACAGTTTGGTTTCCAGTGTTTAGATGTGGGTGTGTGTGGTGCTGGGATCCTGGGATTTGGGGGCCTCAGGTGCGACAGGCAGGTGCTCTGTCTTGAGCTGCCCCCTTTGTTGACCAGGTTTCAAAGTAGTCAGCCTCCTCAGTATCCTGAGGGGTCGGCCACTTCTGGATGCTGCTGCTAGTGTCATGTGAACTTGAGGGCCACAGCTTCTGCTTCGGACCACCTGTCTCTTGCTCTCACCAGGGCCCACATGGTGTCCCTGGGGCAGGCAGGTGCTGTCCAGCAACCCCTACAGTCTTTGGATCCTGGGCTTGCTGCTCTTTGCTGTGTGCCTGTGGTGGGCCAGGCTTGCTGTTCCTGGATTCTGCCCCAGCCCTGTGGTTGGGTGGCCCTCGGCAGGGGCCTGTCCTGAGTGGGCCCCTGGATGTGGCGTGGCTTGAGAAACTGCCTTTCTTCAGCACACTGTCACCTCTGCTTTCCACACTGGCTTTGGCAGTCCCTGCTTCCAAGATGTTTTAAACAAAAATCTCTGGAATGTAGACCTGGGCCTCTGGCCCCCACTCTCACACCCTGCTCCTAGGGCAGCCGCTGTTGGCCCCTGGTCAGCTGCACGCTCACCTCCTTCTTCCTAGGCTGTGACCTTGTGTGATTCTCAGCTGTGAAGGGTGGGAAAGGAGCCCCCGAGGTTGCCCTCGCACACTGTCCCGTGGCCCTGAGTTGGCACCCGTGTGCATTGCCGCGGCAGGACACGTCCACAGTGCTGGGCTGCTCTCTGCTGTCTTTGCTTTGCTGGTCTGTAGTGTCTGGGTGTTGGTGGATGGAGCCCCTGCATCTTCCAGTACTGTCCTCTGCCTCCCCTGCCTCTCCTTGGTCCTGCTGAGGGCCTTGTGAGTTCCCCCTCCTCAGCAGCCACTGCATCCCTTCCTTTCAGCCTGCAGCGCAGTTTTCATGACACTGATGACGTCCTGATACAGTCCTGTGTGTGTCTTCTCTGTGAAGCTCTGTCTTCGGTATCCTGAGCTTCTTCCTGGGCCTTAGTTTCACCTTCCTCCTAGTCTTCCTTTCCGTCTGAAGTCGGCTTCGACTAGGGGGTGCACTCTGTCCTTCCTGGTCGCAGTCCCTCCTGGATTCTTGACCCTGCTGCAGTCACCGTCCTCCACGGTGTCCTTTGGCTGGTTTTCCTCTGTCCTGYTCTGGGTGTAGCTGTTGCTGTGGGTCCCTTTCTGGGCATTTCCCCTGACTCTGTCTTTTTACACGGCCATTCTTATTTCTGTCAGGATTGTAATTTCCAACAGTTCTTTGTTCCATCTGTTCTTTGCTTGTGCCTGTTGCTCAGCAGCAGCCAGTGGCTGTCACCTTGCGGAGGGCTCTGTGTGCACGCATGTGGCCCTTCTGGTGTGTGTCCCCTCTCCTCGGTGCCTTTCCCCTTCTGTCTGAGCTCACCTTCTGTCTTTCCTGAAATGTCCTCTGCCCCTAGTTCCCTGTTCATGGTGAAGGAGGAAACACAGAAATGCTGATGGCGAGAGCTGTGCTTGGGGGTGTGTTGAGGGGCCCACATGTCCACAGGTGCTGGCCTGCTGGGACTGCTGACTGGGGCACCCAGATGCTGCCATCTGAGGGTCACTAAGAGTCCCAGGAGTGGATGGCTCTGTCCTGCATCCTGGAACACAGGTGGAGGACTGAGGGGCTCAGGCCCATGGGAGTACGGTGCCTGCTCCTGAGTCCGCGTCTCCAGGAAGTGGACATTTTGTTGGTTGCCTTGGGAGGGACACTTGGTGCCATGACATGGGGATCTGCTGAGCAGCCATCAGAATCAGCTGCATGCTGATTCTGTCCCCGGTTCACTGGCTAACCCCTCCTGTAACTCATTGGTTTCTGCACCCTGAGACCCGAGGTCCGTGTCCTTGGACCAGCAGTGACCAGCCCCGCAGCACAGCCTATCTGCTGGCTCCTCCCTTCTCCATTTGTCCTTAGGGTTTGTGCCTTTTCATTTCTCCATGTTCTTCCTTGCAGCTCCTGGAGGCAGCCAAGTTGCACTATAGCCCTCTTTGTCCTGTTGCAGGGAAGCAGAGCTGCTTGACCCATGAGTGTTTCTGTCCTCAGCCACCTTCACCTGCTCCCTCAGGACGTGGATGGGTCATTGCCCTCCTTCCTGCTGCCCTCCATGTGGCCTTCTTGCCACTTCCTTCATGGCCACCTGACCTGTGTGTCCATGGGGACTTTGTAAAGGGGAAGCAGTGGTGCTGGCTGCACAGAAGCTCTGCTTGGCTTCTGGGTGGAATGGAGAGGGTGGATCAGGGAGGAGGAGGATGTCAGAGAGCCGTTTCCAGGGTGGTCGATGGCATCGATAAGGGCCACTGTATTCATACTCAGCTGGGTCATAATTCAGTGCATATTCAGAATTCTGATGGTTTGACAGACATTCTTGTTTCTTGAATTAAGCTGTGTTATCTGGGATATTTAATGGTGATTGCTTTTTCTTTCCAGGGCTTGTCAATGAGACAGATTAGATTCAGGTTTGATGGGCAGCCAATTAATGAAACAGACACTCCAGCCCAGGTATGAAGCCAGCTCTGTGTGTCCAGGACCTCCTCCCCATCCGCGTCTGCACAGTGGCCATTTGGAATGCTTATTGAGAATTACCCAGGGCTGCACATAGAGAATGCCTTACGTTTTCTTGATCATTTGAATTATTAGATTTTAAGTTTTGGCATTTTGGGATGTTTTTCAAATGAGAACATGGCACTGTCAGACCTCACCCTGTCTTTGAGGTGGGATCTGAGYGTGGGGCTTGTGCTGTAGGGCCATTGGTGGGACTGCCATTGGCTTAGTCATGTTGATTTCCAGGGCCGTTGGTGGGACTGCCAGGACTCCTGCCGTGGCTCTGCGGACTCCTAGCTTGTGGCTGCAGTCAGTCAGTGGCTAGACATGGGCCTGATTCCTGTCTCCTGTGGAGTCTTGTGTGAATGCTGTGGGTGGGCAGGGTGCCYGTCATGTCCTGTGCCATCGGAAGTGCAGGTGAGCACCCGCATGCCTCACGGCAAAGGGCCTGGTGCTGCGGTGCAGAGAGCTCGTCCCTGGAGCCAGATGTTCTCCAGCTCTTTCACCAACACCTGACCCTGGTGGTCTCAGTCACTTGCTTTCGAGTCTCAGTTTTGTCTCCCTGTGAAATGGAGATGGTACTTGTTTTTTCTTCCTTAGAGGTGGTGAGAATAAATTGGAATGTTTCACGTGAAAATATTTTTGCAAGACATTTAATAGCATAAATATTGAAAATATAATTGCAATAAGTATTTAGCCACCTTTGGGAATATTATTGCAAATATTATTGCAAAAAATATTCTAGCCACTTTTGGAAATCATACATGACTAAGCCAAAGGGGTGGGCTCTGCCAGGACTCCCCAGGGAGGCAGAGAGCAGAAAGGGCTGGTGGGCATTGGGCTGGAGTGGGGAGCCAGGAGCAGGTGGCATGGAGGAGCAGTGACGCTTCCTGGCTCCAGCCTCCCCAGGTGTGTCTGCAGCGGGCCTAGAAGGGACTTCTGGGATGCCCCCTGGGAGCTCCCACTCCTGTCCTGGCCTCAGTCAGTCTTGGGAATTGCAGAAGCTCCCGTGCTGAAAGAAGGGGGAGAGGTCGGAGGGTCTCCGTCCCTCCTGTGTCAGAGGAGCAGGAAGCCTGTCCACCTCTGCCTTGGTCTCTGAGTGACAGGATCCCTGTCCGCAGTGGGCTTTTACTTTGTGGACCCTTCCTTGGAGATGCAGTTGCCTTTGGGTAGGCATGACCATCGMACTTGCATGGCTAACTGGAAGCTCTTCACTGGAATTTCATTTTGTGTAGTTGTCCCAGGAATTTTAGATATTTCAGTTTACTTTATTTATTATTATTGTTTTAAATTCCTTTTAGTTGTAGATGGACACAATGCCTTTATTTTATCTTTTTAAATGTGGTGCTGAGGATCGAACCCAGTGCTTCCACATGCTAGGCAAGTGCTCTATCACTGAGCCCCAGCCCAGCCCCAGTTTATTTTGTTATTCATTTATTTTTTTGGTGGTGCTGGGATTGAACCCAGGGCCTGGTGCATGGAGGCCAGCCCTTCACCATCTGTGCTGTGTTCCCAGCACTCAGTGTGTTTTTTAATCACTGTTTTTCTATCAGAATTCTTACTTGTGACTATTCTTCTGAGCTTTGTGGGAGCACAGAGGTGGGGAGTAGTCACTGTGATTTCCCTGTGTGCTGCACAGGAGGGGTGGCACAGCACAGCAGGGGGTGACTAGGCTGTGGGGGGGGGCAGTCGGACATCTTCCCTTCCTCTGATGTTCCCTGTCCCTTCTCGCTGGGCTGCCTGGGACTGTGACAGCTGGAGATGGAGGATGAGGACACCATCGACGTGTTCCAGCAGCAGACGGGAGGCATGGCCTCCAGAGGGACCACCCCACACCCTGCCATCGTCCTTGCATTTGTTATTGAATGGTGAGCGACCACGCTGATCACAGAGGAGTCCGAGAAAGACAAGGACAGTCACCGAAACGATCCTCGAAGCACTTCAAGTGCAGCTCAAAACTCTGCAGGGATGAGTCTACAGCTTACATTGGGCCAATCACATTGTTCTCTTTGTGAAATGAGTTTTAAGGTTTTGSGTTTGTTTTTGTTCTCGGTTTTGTTCATTGCCCCTCTCAAAACATGTTTTCCTTCAAACTTGTGGCCAAATGTTGGCTTTCAGTCTGTGGCCAGGCTCTCACCCCTGGAGAAGTGGTCACTGCTGGAGCTACTTGTCCGAATCACGTGGAGAGCTCATGTTCACACTGTGCATCTGTGGGAGAGTATGGGGGGTGGAATTCCACCAGGC